CTGGACCTGCTCCAACACTTCCATGTCCTTCTTGTGCTGAGGGCTCCAGAGCTGGACGCAGTGCTCCAGGTAAGATCTCACCAGAGCAGAGTAGAGGGGCAGAATCCCCTCCCTCGACCTGCTGGCCACGCTTCTCCTGATGCAGCCCAGGGTATGGTTGGCCTTCTGGGCTGCCAGCGCACATTGCCAGCTCATGACCAGCTTTTCATCCACCAGCACCCCCAAGTCCCTCTCGGCAGGGCTGCTCTTGATCCTTTCTTCCCCCAGCCTGTATTGATACTGTGCGTTACCCTGACCCAGGTGCATGACCTTGCACTTGGCCTTGTTGAACCTCATGAGGTTCACACAGGCCCACCTCTTCAGCCTGTCCAGGTCTCTCTGGGTGACACCCGTCCTTCTGGTGTGTCAACCGCACCACTCAGCTTCGTGTTATCTGCAAACTTGGTGAGGGTGCACTCAATCTAGCTGTCTAAGTCATTGATGAATATATTAAACAGCACCAGTCCCATTATGGACCCCTGAGGGACACCACTCGTCACCAGTCTCCATCCAGACATCGAGCCATTGACCACTACTATAATAAGCAGCTCAGGAAAACTGAGCGGTCAGAAGAGAGAAAAGGAAAACACAGTGTTCATGACCAAATCGAGCACTGATCTAGGAACAGATCAATAGTTCAATCGACCACTCACAGCACTCGTCATTATTCTACAGAAATTACTAATCTGAAAAAAAAACCAACCCAACAAATAAATTCATTAGTGATATCTCAGATAGAATTGTACCACAAAACACATATTGGCACTGACATTGCAGCTACTTTCTGTAATTGCAGATACTAAAAAAGATTCAGGCTCAGAATAAGTATGTTGGATTACCTTGGTAATCACCCTGCACTGTAGTCTATTCACCAGAAGATAAATAGTTTAAAAGTCCATCAAGAAAATGCTGCTTTTTCCTCAAAAGTGTTAAGCAATACTGTTACTTAGTTACATTTTCCTTCTCAAAAAATTGTGTAACAGCTCTTGCCAAGCCATCAGCCAAAGGGAATGCAGACGCCCAAAAGAATAAAGGATGCCAGGCCCCATTATCTCCAGACTTCTGTATGGGAATTCTCTGATGCCTCCAACTGCACAAGCCTCAGTCAATGCTTGTATGAAGCAGAAAGGTCCTAATGAAGCAGAAAATTCGGAAAAAAATCCCAGCTTTTCATCTCGTCTGTAGCTATTGATTAGCTGGTAAAAAGCAGTCAGAGAACAGGAAGCCTGGTAACACTGATCTTGGATTGGCCTTTCTATTTCCAAAATTCAGATTTTATTCTGAAGAGATGTATTAGTTTAATCTAAAGGGAGATACCGTGTCTCTGTATGATCAAGCCAGCTCAACAGGCAAGGAGCAGCCTTGGGAGGACAACATGTGGTATAAAGTGCCAGAACAGGCTTTCTCAGTAACTTTTTTAGAGTTCTCTGTGTGACACAAGTTCAAATTACATTTAAGTTCAAGACTATTAAATACATTACTAAGGGCAGCCTGTTAGCTTTCTGTCTGGAAAGGGCACTAGTCAGTTTGGAGACATTTACATTTAAGAGAAATATATCGGTCAGAGTAACTTTAATGAGGCAACCATGTACCATTTGTTCTTGTTCTTCCAACAGCTGGAGTTCAGGTTTGGCACAGTAAAATATTTCAGTACTATTTTGGACTGGAACCAGCCCGCTGATTGCCCTCCAGGAGCGAGCACATTAAATATTAATGGCTCTGTACTCTTTTGCTACAAAAGCAGAATTTGGCCTGATGTGTTTGGTAAACTGAACTCATTTTATTATCCCAACATATTTGCAAGATGTTGGGGTCAGATGCATAGAGTTCCTTGTATTTGAAAACCACCCAAAGTGTCCTCCTTACTATTTGTCATACATTCCACAGAGGAACAACTTCAGCGATCAAACCCATTTTTAGGTACAGGTTAACTAAAATTAAATGCCAGTAGTTAGTCTCACACTTCCCATACAATAGTATTTCTAGGATGAAATATCAGGCATTCTAAGACAATGGTTCATCTTCAAGGAGGTGAATGCAGCAGTTTTCAGGATACATTTTATTTTATCAAGTTACATTCATGTTGGGGATCAGAGGTATTTTGGGCTTTTAACGGCATTCATGGACCCCACTTGTCATGATAAATCGAAATTTCCTTGTGCAAGGTGTTGCATGACAAGAGGAGTTGTTCTCCTAGAGCGGAACTGCCTGCCTCTGGGGTGATGTGGCTCTGGTGTAGTTTGGGGGGGGTTCAG